AATTTCTTCTGACTTCTGTACCTTTGAGAGGTATTAAGTGAAATGAACTGTGCAGCAATCCTGTTTTACCTTGTATTGAATATGCATTGCCTGTCTTCATTCTTAGGGCTTGTCTTCACTATACATTTAGCTTGAAGTGTGACTCAAGACTTACCTCTAGCCCCACTTCCATTCACCTTCAAAAAACTCCAATTTGGATTAGGGACCAACTTGAGGTATCCGGCCACTTGAAAGGCATGGGCTGACATTTGCATGCTGTCACAACTTGAGGTAGAAATGCTGCGTGGTCCTGCTATGCTGTGCTTCTGCAGCAGACACCATGCTGCCTCAGGGGCAGTTGTACAGCACAATGGCTCTCACTCAAGCTAGGCTGACAGGAGAGGAGTCCATCAGGGACAGACAACTCAAGGAAGACAAGATTTGAACCTGCTCAAATGAGGACTAATCAAAGCCCTTTCTTTCCAATGTGGTCATCTGTGGCTAGGATTCCCACCATGTATTTCTGAACTGAAACAACAGTGGCCAGTTTTTAAGAGGCATGGAGCATGTACCACCCTGTTCAACAGCAGCGTTGTTTGTGTGCTCTTCTAAAAGGATGGATTGCGGGTCTGTGTCCTGGAAAATAACTGCCTTCTTCCACAGCGACACAGTTAAAACATGAAGGACCAAATGCTGACGCCAGCTGTAGCTGAAGGGAGAATTTAAGTAGGAAGAATGCATCCTTTAAAGCTGGAAAATGACTAAAGCCAAAGGGCTTGTGCAGAGTGCCTTAGTACTTTCATTAATGTCCACATGTGATCATAGCCTCTATTTTATATCTTAAATACAACATAAATTAGGAGACATCATTGGTCTCAATAAAAAATGTTGTCATTTAGATTGATAATAGGAGATATCTGGAGACAAGAAGTACGTTTATTGTTGGAGAACCTAACGGTGTGGTGGTTGTGGGGAAGGAATCAGTGGGAGTTGGGTGTCTCATTATTATCTGTGCCATTGAAAAACTCCCCCATAATACTTTGGTCCTAATTTTTGTTCACATTACACACTCCAAGGCCTCTTTATGCTGCCTTAGTGCAAAGCAGTCTAGAGTAAATTAGAGCTCTGTGCTCTCTCTAGTAAATCATTCCCTTGCTTGCCTGCTTGCAAGACTATCAGTGTCCAAAGGGGTAATCATTGCACATGTGAGGAAAACATTCTAAGTCAATTTTCTGGGAAAAAGGGGATTTTTTCAGATAACAAAAAGTGAAAATGAATTTTCTGTTTGTTTGATTGAATTCATGAACAAACTTGACTTGGAAATGTGGCTGGAAACCCCATTTGCAAAGGTAATGTCTAAAATGCATTCTAGAAATGGAAAATGAAGATTTAAGGATGCAGTTCTGCTTTGTGGACTGTGGGAGAAATAGATCATGGTCCAGCTCAGTGGTTCTCAGTCTTTTTAGACTCAACTCCATCCCCCATAACTTTTGTGAATTGAGTAACACCCCATTTTAAAAGATAATTTATGTATTACAGTGCTTACCCCCCGATGCTAGGCAGGGGAGCAACTAGGCAGGGAGCCTGCCTTTATCTGCTTTTCTCCTCGCACCTGGAGCCTCTGCCTGTCCTTATCTGCTTGTCTCTTCATACTTGCTGTGTTACCCTTCAAAGGATCTCAGAGCACCCAAGTTTGCCTGAGTACCCTGGTTGAGATTCACTGGTCTAGCTGACTGAAGATGTTATAGCCATTTGGCTGCTTGTAATTCACCCCATCCACTCTGTTAAGAAAGTTGAGGACTGACATAGAAGAGAATCCAAAGACTAGGATCATGGCTTCCTCTAATGTACTTTGTGTCATAATGGTTTACATGTACCTATATCCTGTACTGGGAGCAGTGGCAGAGAGGCAAAGTCATCTTGCTACAGGTCCAAAAGCATGAATTGTGGATTTGTGCAAAAAGCCAGCCCCAGTTCACCCAGCTGTACACAGGTACCTGGTCATTCAGGCTGGGGAGTCAAAGCAAGCTGGACCTGATATCACCACACTGCTCCCTGGTATGCTGCTGTCTGCAGAAACTGGCATGCCCTAGCCTTGCTAGCCAGTCTTAGCCGGACATATTATCTTCTTTATGATGTGCTATACACAGAGTTGCGAACTCTCATCCTATCCATTGTGTATAAGGCCAGAAAGGACCATGAGGTCATCTAACCCAGTGATTCTCAAACAGGGTGCCCCAGCCCTGACTGGCCCTGACAGTGAGAGAAGGTAAATAAGATAAACATAGGCTCTGGTGAGGAAATACATATAGGCTCTTTCCTTCCAGCCACTCCTGCTACCCCCACTCACTGCAGGCAGGCTACTCCCTCCCAGTTGCTCCTCCTCTCTCCCAGCCCTTCTTCAAGAAGGTAAGCAGTATAATAAATACGTTCTTTTTTGAAATGGGATGCTGCTCAGTTTATAAAAGTTATGGAAGGGTGCCTCGAGGCTAAAAAGTTTGAGAATCACTGATCTAACCTGACCTCCTGGATATCACTCTCCATTAAGTGTTACCCAGTTACCCAGTACTGTATCTAGTCATGTGTGTTTGACTAAAGCATCCCTTCCAGAATAGAATCCAGTCTGGATCTGAAGACATCAAGAGAAAGAGCATCAACCCCTGCCCTGGGTACCAGTGGTTCATCTCTATCATTGTTTTGTGCTTCAACTTCCTTAGGTACCTTCTAATTTAGCTCCACACCCAGACACTGTGCAGACCTTGCTGGGTTTAAATCAAAGACTGACTTAATTGCTAACATTCTTGCAAACTTAGGACCCAATCCTGCAACCTTCTGTGCCAGTAACTCTCCATTCCCCTGCAGAGCCCTGCTAAAATCAATATGGCTATGCACAGTCCAGAGGTGCTAAAAGTTTTATATTGTTTCTGTAGAGGAGGGGTGACCAAACCCTTCTGGCTACAAGACAAAATCTTGTCATAGCTGAGAATCATGGGACGTAAAATGTTGGAGATGCAAATGTCTCTGAGCCAGTGATCTCTTCTGTTTCTTCAAGAGTAACATTTAAATGGCTTGGGAGTTGCATGTGACTCAGAAGCCATAGTTTGGCTACCACTGTTCTAGAATGCATCCTTAACCAAACACATTCTTCATGTAAGCTGCATGTATAAGTATTCAAATGCTGAGGCCCCAAAGGGTGGAAAGCTTGCAGTGCTGACACTGTGCATCCAGAGAGGACCCCTGTACATACATTTCAGCCAGCTGTGAAGGCTCCCTTAATCAGCCTGATGACAGATAGTAATAGTGCATAGCGCAGCCCTGAGTTGGCTGACCCAGACTGCCAATGGTCAGACTGTGTTCACCAGCAGCACAGTGTGGGGATGGTGAAGGCTGTGTTTTCTCTTCCCTGCTGGAGCTGCAGAGTCCAGCAAACCACACACTGTCTTCCTGGGGTTGGAGAAGGAAAGAGAAAGGGGAAATGCTAGAGGACTGTGTTCTCTTCAGAGAGAAGCCACAGAATGTACAGACATTCACTTTCCCAGGAGACAGTCTTCTGGGAATGATTTAACCCTGTTGTTCCCAATTATTTTTCTCTTGGAGCAGCCATTTTTACTCTGGGAGAAAAAGCCTGAATATTTGTACGTGTGTGGTTTCTCCTGGGAGAACAATGACTTTCCCAGGAGAAAATGGATGTCTGTACAAGGCCATAGGTGTCTTTCCTGAGTTCTTTTCCTGGCTTGCACAAATAAGTAGGACATATCCCTACCAAATTCTACACTAGTAGCTAAGGGTAGTAGAAGTCAGCTTTGTGCTACTAAAGATTCACTGAATGTGCACTTCAACTCCTCCTCCTTCATGGCCCCCATGGAGAGCAGGATTGCCAGTATTGCTTTCAACATGCTTATATCTCATTGAGACAGTGATTATAATCTAGTCTAGGTTTCAGCCCATCAGTTGCAGGGGTCAGACAGGAACGTTTTCCCTCCATGACTAAATATTGTCTGTGCTGTGTGTCACTTTCCTCTGAGGCCACAGAACTTGACCACAGATGAACATGGGACAGGGTGGGTCAGCACACTGAGGTGAAATGGAGAATGCCTGGCTGGTGAGTTTTGTATGCCCCAGTTCTAAACAGATCACCAAATTTGGATTTAGGAAGGAATTATTTGCTAAGTCACATTGGCAGGGACCTCCAGACTTTTTCACCTTTCTTTGCAGCATGGACTGTCTCTTTCCTTCTGGAAACCTCTAGGCATGTCTCAGTTAACCAGTGCTTCACCACTGCCAGAGCTCTGGTACCACCTCAATCTCTCCTGTCCTCTGCCTGTACCAGTTTAGGAGTGAATTGCTTACTGTTGCGTCTAACAAAAATCTTTTGGGCTTAATATAAGAGTATTAAGAACCTGTGTTACATATGTCAGACTAGATGTAGTGGTCCCTTCTGTGCTTAAATGCTATAAAATTTAACTATTTGACACAGGAATTCAAGATTAAACCATACTGGATATGCACAATGGAGCAGAGTTAAGGTCACATCCCTTTAGTATTTCCTGCATTTTCACAGCATAATCATGCAACTTGAACAGTGTTTTCTGTGAAGTTTATTACTTTTATGAAAGAAAGAGATGTTAAACATAAAAAGAATAGAGATTTGGGCCCAAATTCTGTCCATAGTTACACCTATACAAACTACTGTTAACACACAAGATGGTTGGACTGGTAGGACTTAACAAAGACAGAATTTGACCCTGGACTAGCAATACAAGTGGTCTTCATTTCCATGACTGTGTCACCATTCAGGCACAAGATTCAGTCATCCCCTCTAGCCCCTGTGGTCATCTCTTGAAAGCAGTCTCAGTAGCGTATTCCATTTCCCAGCTCTGATCTCTTGTATCGTGTACTAACATGTGTGGGGCCAGCTTGCGCTATGAAATGACAGTCTATCTTTTGGCACCTACTGCTAATGTGACAGCTTGTGCTGATAAGAGCCTGGCTCACTGCCTCTTTTTGCATATCTTTCTAAGGTCGTTGCACTGTCATCATGGAGTCTCCTGAGAGATGCAAGCTACTATACACTGTCTGTTATTGCACTCATTGTGGTAAGTTTTTAAGGTTATTATATCTATGCTTCTGTTTGGGAAACCTGTATCAGTAGCAGGATTGTCATCAAGGGCAAGTTAAAGCATAGACACTGTAATCTTGGGAATAAGATCCTGACTCCAGGAGTCTTGTGCTGACTTCCAAAGATCAGTATTATTCACAAAAAGAATTATTTGTAGCCATCTTAGTGGTGGAGGAAAGCTCAACTCACGTGTAATGAATGTAGCACTGCTGGCCTGAATCTGCAGAGCCTGAACTGCCCCATACATTGCATGGGGATACTAATTCTGAAACCCAGTGCTCTGACCTGTTATCAGGCTATGGAGTAGCTTCCAGTCCTGCTCTCTGGGTAGGTGAGAGAGTAGCTGAATCCTCCACCAGGCCCCAGTGGCCCTGCTACCAGGAAGTCCCTGTGGAAAATGTGGCATAATTTGCCCCTATAAGAAGGAAAACAGTCAATGGCTACAAAATGTTCCTTTGTGTCAGGCATGTTCACACATATGCATGTGGTATATGACTAGCGACAAACCCTGCAATCAAAGGTGCAGGATGCTTTCAATAACACTTTGTTTCTTGTTTTCCAAAATATTTAGCAGCTATGAAAATCCCCTTACCGCAATGCTGGAGCCTAGATTTAGGCAACAAAGATGTGATTTGCAATCCTTTTCCCTTAACAGTGCCCATCAAGTCCAGAGGGAAAGGCAGTGTTACACAGGCCACCGACAGTGAAAAAAAGTTAGCTTAAGAATTTGAGTGTAAAACCCTACATCAGTTAAACGTTATATTTCTAGCCATAATCGCAACAAAGTCAAGAAATGAAAAAAATTAAGTTTCCCACAACCAGATTGCATATTGTGTTGTTGTTGTCTGTCATCCCCAATTTCCATCTTGATCATGTAGCCTAAAGTTATCAAATCCCTACCGAACATGGGGAGTAAGAAAGATAGCACTCCTTAGTTTTGATTTAATACATTTGTACCGCTAAAGTCAGGACTGCAGTAAGGAAGTGAAGTTTTCCGTTGCGTAAATGTGTCTGATTTGAACTAAATAGCATTACAGTTTGTCACTATGGGCATCTGTACACATACTCCAGGGTGTGTGTGGGGGGGGTGTTTTAATCAGAGTGGCTCTTGGAAGCTGCTCTAATTAAAATGACCGCAGCATCTCATGTATTCAGAGTCCCGCTTTCAAAATGATGGCAGGTTGAACAAGCTTTAGTTTAAGTGCCCTGCTGCCATTTTGAAATGCGGGGACTCTGAGTACATGAGACACTGGAGCATGCTGGAGCATTCTGATTAAGACGCTCTAGCTAGCTCGAGTCTGCTCCAACGTGTTCTGATCAGAATACATTGGAGCACATGTAAAAGTGCCCTATATTTATTTCTCTTCACCTTTATTGCCTGGGCCTGCATGCTGCCATATATACACATGCTAGATACATAGAACAGTTTCTCTCTTTCTCTCTCTTTCTGTCAAACTTCTGGCAGATCATTTGCCTCAGCTTGTTTGTGATTTGTGTTCTCAATTCTACCGGGTCAGCCTTGTGCAACTTTTGAAAAATACCTCATCTCCAATCTAATTCATACATCAACACTGGGACAAGAATAAAGACAGCATAATTGTTAGTAATGATCTGTGAAACAAACAAAGGCTGCTGCTTTGCTCTGACAGCCTGAGCGTAACCACACACAGGAATGTGGTTTTTGAACAGTCAGCCAGGCCAATCCTGCAAATTGTAATAAATTACCTCCCAAGGGCAGAAAGGCACGTATGCAACATAACAGCCACTTTATTTATTTATTTCCATTTTTTTTAATCCAGAGGAAGCATGAATATAAAGAGGTATTTTGCTTCTTGGCTGATGAGGTTTGGTGGTGGGTTTGACTTACAGAATAGTTGCAAATCAGCTCTAGAGACTGTGGAGGTTTTGCACCTGTCAGTAACCTTTCCACTTCCAGTGCAGGGCAGTTTTTAAAAAAATTTTGGGTGTATTCATCCTTACACTGGGGGCTGCATCTTAGGGGTCCTCACAGAGGCCTGTCACAATCTTTCCTTCTGGTGTTGTATTTAGTGTATCCTTTAAAGTAACAAGAAAATCAGGTGGGTCTTTAAACAAAGACCTCCAGCACCTGTAGACAAGAGACCAGATTCTATTCTACCTGTAAATAATGTAAGAGGAGTTAGGCATGTCAGTGGACTTACGCATCTAAATGCAATTTTATTCCACCCTGCTTGAGTCCCTGAAAAATAAGTAATGCAGAAGCCAGGTCAGTCCACCTCCACTTTGTTGCTTTCTCTGACTTAATAGCCAGCCGATGAGGGTGAATTTTCAGGGGCTTGAACAGGTGGTATAGGATCATACATAGGTGATTAAATCCATTGAGATACCCAGTAGGTGGAACAGAATCTGATTTCTGGTTTCTTCTTTCTCCTTTTATGAATTACTTCCACGAAGGGTGGCTCCACCTGGCTACTGAACTGCCAGAGTCCTTGGGAATCAAACACCAAAGTACCACAATATTGTCATGCTCTTCTGCCCCAGATTAGGGCCTCTCTTGGCCAAATTTATGCCAGGTCCTTTCTCAGCAGATCCTTGCCATCGGTGATGTAGGTCGGGCCCACTGGCCAGCTGTAATTTAGGGTGGAGTCAGTTATAAACCCATGGAAGCTAGTGCCCTTATCACAGCATACATTAGGGCTTAAGATGTTAAGATATTACTAGAGTTCTTGTTTCACTGTGATAATATTAAATAGTTAATTGTGGTTTGGATTAAGTACAGAGTCAGTCTGTCTTGTATTTCCTCTAGCAACTACTCTATACAAGTCATTGTAAACATTTACTGAATGTAGATGAAAGGAGATGGAGTGAATGGGAAAAAGGAAAAAACAATTAAAATGTTTAAGGGCTCAGCTCCTCAGCTGACGTATGACAATTGATCTAGTAGTGCTTACTCCACTTCACACCCCACTGAACTAAAACATTAAGGGCCCCTTCAAATTTTCTTATTCCCTGCAGCTGTAGAAATGCCTTTGCTTGGTATTTTCTGGGATGGTATTTAATGTCCTTATTAGGAAGAAGAGAGTCAGACCAAGGTGATGGCACTTATGTTTTGCTGTTAAAGTTCATCCCTTTATTCCTCCAATGTAAGATAGAGACCTTCATCCAGAGACAACCAGCAGAGACCACAGAGTGCATACATACCATGATTTGAACACAGGCCCTCAAAGCATGCCAGCCTTCTTGGACTCTCATCCTCACAGCTGAGCAGCTACTGCCCTAGAACTGTAGAGAAGGGGCACGAAATGGGGAAGTCTGGTCTAACCACATTGGAAGAAAGTGGGGGTCACTGCATGGAGGCTGAGTGACAGCTGTGTGTTAGGTGACTGAGCTTTTCATTTCCTTGCTTTTGAGGTTTAGCATCAGGTTCTGATAGGTAAAGAAACTTTTACAAACACACCACGTTTGATATATGAATTTTAAGTTGTGTTAGTCAGTTGCAGAGAAGCTTGCAAACTTTCCACTTTGTGCTTAGAATAAATCCCAAAATGACAAAACCCCTCTGTCTTCAATCAGGAAAGAATTTCTCTCTCTCTCTCTCTCTAATGATGTTTTAGCCACGCTCCCTACTTGAAATACTAGTAATAGTTCAGCACACTTGGACCGCATCTTTCTCATGAGAGGCTCAAACCACACACAAATGGGTTAAGCCTTGGGACATTTGTGCAGAGTGTAATATGATGCTGCACAGTCCTGGTTCTTGCCACACATTACTTTTTCCCTGCCCCATGCAGGGTGAGCTGAGGACAGGCAATAATTATACTGCCTTTTTTTCTCTAATTGGGAGAACACTTTTTCTCTTGCCTGCAGAAAACAATAAATGGTGCTGAAATGAATAACTATTTCACATTTACCATGAAAGTAAATTACTTACTAGAAATGTAGGAGAAGAAAAAAGTGCTACGGTTCTCAAATTGCAAGCACAAACTGGTTTCACATATAAATGTGATCACTGTCAGGGCACCCCGGACAGATACTCCTCAAGTCATTTCTTCTGAGACAAAATGGGCCTCTTGATCATTAGACTTAAATACTGAATTGTCTTGGACAGGAATAAATACATCCTATGGGATTATTATTAAATTTGACATGTGAATGTACAGAAACCAGAAGTGTCCAAACACACCAGAGCCCTCAGTTCAACCAAACACTTAAGAATTTGCTTGAGTCTTCCCTGCTTGAATCATCCCTGCTCAGCAAACCACTTGTGTATGTGCTTTGCATTAAGTCCTGTAGACTTTTACAGGGCTTAAGTACAAGCTTCACTCTTTGCACATGCTTAAATGCATGGTTGGATAGGGAGGACTTGCTTATTCAAAGGCCTTAATACCAAGACAATACCAAAAATGGAGAGTGTTCCCTACAAACAGTAGCTCACATCATTCTTCTAACAGATTGTATTAAGCTCATAGAAGTGGCATGTCACCATCATTTTGCCTAAACATATGTGTACTCATTGGGAAATAAATATGTTGGCATTGATAGTACTGTAAGGTTAGGAATTTAACATTGAACCACTTAAAAATCCAAAGTTGGTGAAAACCAACCTAACTTTATTATAAACTTCTATTTACCAGCAGAGATTACTGGCCTTACAACTTCCTTGCAATTAAAAAAGAATTACAAAGACTCATTTTATATCACAGGTTGACAAAACAGTTGTTAGTTTTTAAACAAGCTCCAGAGTTACTCTTTATGCTGCCTTCTGATACAACAAGAACATTTCTTAAATTCAAAGGGACACTTTCAAAGACATTAGGCCAAAGAGAGAGCCCTCTACTTACTGTTCTTTGTAAAGATGTATATGTGCTGGGAGGCCCTGTCAAACCATATTGTTGTTCCCTGAAACCATTATTGCCAGGTGGAACCATGGTGACTGTGAGCCATATCTTGTGAAATACATGATAACACACTCACATCTTCTGGAAACTATTAGGACCAGTTTATATTACACAAAATGGGGGTTGCTATTTACAAAATGTACAGGTAAAGGACTGTTACCTTATGGTTTTCAAAGGTCATTTCCATCCTTTTGGTTGCTCTCTAGCCATTGACGTCTCACATTGTAGAGCTGAGAGCGAAGAAAAGTTTTTAGGGTGAGCGAGCAGAGGGGGAGTCTGTTAATAAAAGTTGAAACCAAGTACTAGGCAGGGTCATTTTTCAGGCTGTCAAGTCAGGGGCGTGCCTGTGGTATGAGACTCTGAGTCCAGGACCCAGAGAAACACAGCTGTGGCATTGTTTTAATGATGTGTCGGCCCACAGCTCTTCTGCAAGGTTGCCCCTGGCCACAGGTTATGATGAGGATGTTACCCCCTGAGGGCTGGAAACTTGACAGGGTCACATTGTAACAGCGCGGAGTTGTGGTTTGACACTGAACTGAACAAGGGGAAAAAATCACAAAGTATCTCCCAGCTGTCACCTGACATAAAAGAAGTCACGCAATATATATGTTCAGTCAAATGAGGAGGATGAATTTCACCACACCACAAAAAACACAGGCGCTTCATCAGGAGAATGCCAGGCAAGGATCTCAGGGACACACAACCATCTTTTTTGCCACTGAGTCTTTCCTGTCACAACAACCTATTGCAGCCCATCACAATGTCACTGTGTTGCTTTAGCCAAAAGCTATTTTGAGATGAGACCTCTGCTTGGAGGTGACAGGAACAGGCCAACGGGGAAGCCAGTCAGATTGCAGATATTGACCATTTAAAGCCAGAGGAAAAGAGAAAGTGCTGTGAAAGACTGGCACCTCAGCCTATTACTAGCAAAATACACCGCAGCCCTGTTTCAGCCTCATCAGCCACTTAAGGCAGGCAGGAGGCTAGAAGCACCATGGGCTGTGGAATTTGAGGGCCATCTAGTGGTGACTGGGAGGCACTCACCTTTCAACATGCAGCTTCAGAGAGCGAAGCCAAACATAAATTAACAAAATTTATCCGTAACCACTTTTATCACATGAACAGGCGCTTAGGGCATTTGGCGCACGTGGAGCGGGATGCAGTCCATATCCCAGGAAGCGTACAGGTGTTAAACAGTTTGGTTTCTAACACCTGTAACATGGATGAAGTCCATTTGGAAGATTGAATGCCAAGCATAGGTGAAAATCAGGCCTGGGCCAAGTCCTTAACTGGCATCAATCCATTAACATCATTGCACCAGCTGAGGATGTCACCAAACACCATTTCCCCCAAGGTCACACCTGCTGTACCTCTGATAAATCACCCCCATCCGTGGTGCACTGTTAGTAACATCACCTCAGATCTTAGAGGACATGGGCAAGACTATCTATTTGCCTTTTGTTGGTGGAAGACACCAAGATGGCTAAAGAGCGCAGGATTACCCACCAATTCAGTGGGTAAACTGGGTTTAGAGCCCACGCCTCCTGCCAGTGTCACTTGCTCTCAACACTGGATACCCAGCCTCTCCTTGCCTTACATTCAAGTAATGGGCTGCTTTCAGCTCTGATGTATGTTGTTGTGGGTTATGAATAATATGCCTTTTTTAATTTCTTCCACAGTTTATATATGATGAAAAAGTTTCTTGGTAAGTATCTCCAGCCGTCTTAATTTCTTTCCTGTCACTTTTTGATTATCCTGCAAGAGCTGAAAAATCAGGGTTAATGAGAGAGGGAGAAACTAAAGTTCTGCAAAGCAATTCAGGCACCAATTTCCTGCTCTGCGGGAGACCCGACTAGCAGGTGGACTTGTATAACTCATTTTCTGAGCAAGTGGAGAATGCCCAGGAGAGCTTCAGTTGAAGCGTCCCCTAATGTGAGATGGCAGCAACGTCAGGCCATGCCCTCTCAACACCCACATACACTTCCAAAGACAGCAGCAGGGTCTACACACATGTGGACTGACAGTACAGTATAGCCTTAAGTCAGAGGTCCATTAGCAGGGTGATGTCAATAGGACCAGGAAGGGATGGGGAAGACCAAGCGGAAATGCAGTGAACCTGCAGTGTTAAAAATATTTTTCAGGATGTCCTGAGTTTGTTCAAATGTTTGACTTTTTAAAAAACAAATGATCTTTGGATTAAGTTGATTTTTTGGAAGGGGGAGAGAGGTGTTTGGTATTTTTTTATTTTTGAAAATGAATTAGCCGATTAACTGCCTCTTTGTAACAATGGGCTAGCAAAGAATCTCCAATATAATATTAAAGGGACACCATCTAGTTAAAATTCATATATTTAAAATACATGCCTTTATTTATGCTACAGATGATGCCATAGATCAGGAAAACTGAAATAATTAAAAAATGTAATTTACTGTCAACTGTTGACCTGATATTTTTCTTCCCAATTCAGACTGGACAGTAACAGTAAGCAATTGAATTAGTTGTTCAGAGTCAGCTACTTACCAGTTTCAATGCAATGTTCCCTGTCATGTTTGAATTACAAATATTGCAGGGAGTTATTTTCTTTTTAAATGTTTATCACTGAGACATTTTAAATTTCACAAAAACATATCTACAGCTGTTAGGTTTTTCAAAGGCTTGGGCTTTCCTAACTACAATTAAATTTGAGGCCAAATTACACTCATCTGCACCCTTTTATTAAAACATGTCAATGGGGAAGCAGAATGCTGGAGTGTCCGAAACAAAAGAAAAAGAATAGTCAGCACAAAGTCATGGCAACCATAAACTCACAGTGCTGCTTAAAAGGAAAGGAACAGTGTGTCCTACTGTTTAAGCACTATGGTTCTGGTCACAGGTTTGTCTACCGGGGCTAAAGATTTGTCAGTGAGCTACAACAAATGTAACTGGTCGGAGAAAAAGAAGAGAAAGGCCCAGTTCAGCTCTGTGTAAGAAGTGCCAAAAGCCAGGGACTGTGTTATTTTACTACATGTCTTTTGTTTTGCTGTAGAAGCAATCAAAACACATTAATAATATTCAGCTAGCAGTTTTAATGGTCAGTCCTGTCATGAAGCAGCCTCGTGGAAAGAGAGAGGAGCTGGAGGGACTTGGTGCTGCCTGTTGTTCAGCACCACTTTCTCAGCAGTGACACCCTTGAACCAGCTACAGGCCTGATTTTATGTCTTGTCTCATCATTTAAGACCCATGCAAAGGGAGAGTAAAATGGTTTCCCTACACACATTCACATTCTCTCTTCCAAAGAATCTGAAATTGTTGTCAGTGCACAACTGCCTTATTACATATTAAGCCGAGAAAAAACAAAATGGGCCTCCAGAAACCAATGCTTTATGTTTCACCTTCTTCACCCCCTCATTCCACTCATTAAGTTGCACAGTAGGTCAGATAGTTCCTTGTGGGTTTATGGCATGACAGAAGAATGGGATGACAGGCTGTTCCTTCTACTCTGCTATAACTCATTCCTTGTGTGCCTTTTTTCTCAGGTGGGAGTCCTTAGTCCTAGTACTGATGTACTTCGTCTACATCATCATCATGAAGTAAGTCAGTGTATGCCCTCAGTCTATACAGCCCAAGGTTTCAGAATTTGTCCAGAGTAGTAGTGGGAAGCAGAGCAGGGTTTCTGTGGTGCAGGGGTGTCAATGCTGGACTGATCTGTCAGCCGGACCGGGACTGACCTCCAGTTCAGCATCTGTGGTGCCAGGTCTAGCCCACACACTGTATACAGCACTTGTCAGCCGTGGTGCTCACTGTGCGTATGGCATGTAGGGCTGGCATGGGGAACGCAAGCCAGACCTGGCACTACAGGCCACAAAGGGAGTTGGTCCGGGGCACTGCTAGCAGCCTGTACCCCAGACCTGTGCTGTGTCTAGAACTGGGTCCAGCCTGAGTGCCACAGGTATCACTTGCCCCATGCCAGCCCTACATAACATGTGCACAGCAAGCCCCAAGGCCAGCGGGTGCTGCACATGGTGCATGGGGCTGGACTAGCCATGCATCCTGCATACAGCACTAGGGGCCAACATGTGGCACGTGCACCTTCTGGACAGACCCTGCACACTAGCTCTGGCAGCACACAGGGCCAGTCTGGTGGGACATTGCATTCATCGTTTACCCAGGACCATCCCCTGTGCCGGATCCAGCCCATGCACAACATTCACACCCAGGGTCAGTCCAGCAACCCAAAGGTCACATCATACTGCTCAACAGGCCGCATCTGGCCCATGGACCATATATTTGACACCTCTTCTGTACTGCAACTATGCTTCTATACAGCAGAGCCCTCCTTGCTTCTGTATCTGAGCAGCTCAGATAAGACCTTCCTGGACTTATCCTTGCAACATCCCAGCAAGACTGAGAAGGGATGTTTTCCACATTTCTCTTTCTTTCTGTTTTTTAACTTTATTTATTAATTAATCAAGCTTATCAAATAACAGGTTTAACATTTAAAGATATACCCAATCCCCTAAAATACATATCAGGACAGATATTTATCTTCCATCAGCAGTGCTCCCTTAATCCGAGTCTGTTTTCCCCATTTCACTGGTAAGGCATACCGAGCCCCCTCCCTGTCATATCCAGAAAGAGAGTTAGGCACCTGAAGTAGGACTCAAATAGAATGTAGGCACCTGAGTCCAAAACTGCAATCCCAGAAACCATGGCTCAGCTGCCACATTATCCTGGAGGCACCTAAAATCCATAGGTGCCTTTACTTAGTGAGCTAAAATTCCCCCAAGGGTGAAGGGCAGAATCTCCTTCATCTTGACAGGGCTAACCAGCTCTGCACCTGTCTCTCATCTAAGTCCAACCAGGATGTAGAAAGGAGGTGTTCCTATGAGGGCCTCTAAAGGGCTCAATACACTTACCATTGTCAGAGCACACAACATGGACACGAGTGGGCTTCCCACAAAATATAATGGTGGCCACCAGTTTCTTTTAGAATGCAGCCTGAAGAGAAACAATGTCGTGTCATCCATCTCTTAAAGCCCTCACTCAGGAAGTGGGAGACCTGTTGCGGGACCTGAACCTGTTCAGCCTTCAAAAGAGAAGGCTGAGAGGGGATCTTGTGGCCTGTTATAAACTGGTTAGGGGGGATCAGCAGGCGCTGGGGGAGTCCCTGTTCCCCCAAGCGCCGCAAGGAGTGACCAGGAACAATGGTCACAAGCTGGCGGAGGGAAGGTTTAAGTTGGACATCAGGAGGCGCTACTTCACGGTCAGGGCGGCTAGGGTCTGGAACCAGCTTCCATGTGAGGTGGTGCAGGCTCCCACCCTGGGGGTTTTTAAGAGGAGGTTGGATGATCACCTTATTGGGGTCATTTGACCCCAGTGCTCTTCCTGCCATGGCAGGGGGTCGGACTAGATGATCTGCTCAGGTCCCTTCCGACCCTAGAAACTATGAAACTATGAAACCTTGGTGCTAGGCCTACCTTGGCCTGAGGAAATTCAAACCTATATTCCTAGCAGAAACTAGAACCCAGATCTCTCAGCTGAATACCACCCCAAGGCTATAGGCTTGTCTCAGTCTCTCCCTTTCCAGGTGTTCTTCTGTGCAGGAAAGAATTCAAGATTCACTGGGGCAAAGAGAGAACGAGGCAGTGCCCAACTCTACAGCCTGATGGCTATAGTAGGGGGAGATGGGATTACTCTCCCTCCTCCTGCATATGTTACATGTAATAGTAATTGGATGAAATTAGAGTGGCCAACCTGTAGCACGATTGCCACAACTGGCACAGACAGCCTCTGTGTGGGGCACATGGCAGATCAGGGCAGGGACAGGCAGCACAGCAGCAGGTAGGAGAGAAAGCAAACAGCAAATCGTGCAAGGAGCATAGGGAAAGAAGCAGAGAGTAGAGCAGCAGTTCAGACAGGGAGAACAGGGCAGGGAACAGAAAGCAGAGTGGCAGAATAGGGAGAGGAAGGGGATTGGAGTGGTATTTGGGGAGGGTCAAGGACTAATTTGAGCAGCCCCCAGGATAAAACATCCTTAGAGCAGTAATTAGTAAAAAGCCACCCATGCTTAGAACTGAATAGATCAGAGGTGTCAAAGACATGGCCCATGGAGCTGTTTCACCCAGCCTTCAGGGCTCCTAGAGGAGCAGGATGAGCAAGGGCAAGTCCAGATGCAGGCCAGGAGCCCAGGTGAGTTTAACACCCTTGGAACAAATTACTGAAAACTGAAAGACAAAATTATTTTTCATGAAAGAGTTTAAAGACACTGAGTGACATTGTTTTATCATCCTGGAGTGTATAAATATATAATGTTTAGCAGCCTTTTGAAGATATGAAGATTGTTTTTCATGCTGTTTAGTTAAGAGTTTTGTGGTTCCATCAGAGGCTTCCTCTCTAAAATGCACAGTTGATCCCACATGGTCTACACCAAGAAAAAGAAAGTTCATCTAGCAAATTACATGAAGGGCCCAGAAATACAGCTGGAGTTTGTTTTATGTACATAGGTTCAATTCCTGCATACATCACTGTTTTGAAAGGAAGACAAAAAATGCCACGAATATGGTGAATGGACTAGCAAACAACACAGAAATGGATGATAACAGCAATTGCGATGCTACAGTGGTATTACTAAAGAAAGGTAACTGTTCCAGTAAGTCACACTACTTGCTTGCATTATTCCAAATAACTCTTATGTCAGGTAGCAAACTGAGATGTGAGCTTCTCCTGAGTCATTAGGAATTGAGGTGAAGAGGTGAAGTTATTTACGTTGAGAACAAGTAGCTTGTGTGGAGCCCAGACCACCAGATGGCAGTATAGCTGCAGTGGGTGCAAGTCTGTTTTCAACTGTGTGTGCTCTCCCCTAGGAAGAATGCTTCCATGACCCTACATTTCTTGTGTTTGCTGGCACAGTGTGTGCAGTGACACACTCCCAGGAGAGAGTGCACACACCTACACAAAAAATGTTCCAGATTCCTGATGGAGCCACTCAGGGATCAGCAGAGAAAGAGAGTGTGTACAAATGCATGGCAACAGGAAAACAACTTGAGCTGCCTAGTAATCCCAGAGACAGTCAGCCTGAGGTGACTTCCATATCCGGACCCCAGAGTCTATTTGTAGAGGGAAAAGCTCATCTGCTCTTGATGCTGTTGCAAACAAGGGTACCCCTTAACCATTTTTATGTCAACTTTGGATCAAATTTGAAATGAGGCTGTTCCTCTTGGTCAGATCTACGGTGATGGAAATTGGCCTTTAATTAAATGGAGCTGCACTAACTTGCACCAGCCAAGGATCTAACTCAGTGGGCATGTCTACACATGCAGATCATCCAGGAGCAGTTTACTCTCAAGTACTAGAAAGTAAAATCTTCTGGGCGCATGTCTACACTTGCAGGGACACAACAGCAGATTTGCTGCTCCTAGCAGCAGACTGTTCCCACTCACTGAGGCCCAGCAACAGGCCCCTGAAGCAGCCAGGGGGAGCTCTAGACTCCCCTTGGGTGCTAGCCCAGGAACCAGAAGACAACTTTTTCCTGGCAGAGGCTGGGACATTGGCCCCTGCCCCTGAAAGCTGTCTACTGCTGAGACAGGCTCCATCACAGTGGTGACAGTGTCCCCTGCCCCAGCAGCAGGGATCTCCCAGCCTGAGCCCTACAGTCACAGGGCCTGGGCTGGGAGATCCTTCCCTCCCAGTGCCAGCTCCACAGTCACTGAGCTCGCACTGGGAGAGAAGGATCTCCCAGCACTGGTCCCACAACCACGGAGCAGTGGCTGGGAGCTCCCTGCTGCTGGGGCAAGGGGACATTGTCCCCACCCAGGCTCTGATGGTGGAGCCCGCCCTAGCAGCAGGCAGCTCCTGGGGGCAGGGAGCAATTTCCTGCCCCTGCTGCCTGGCTGGTCAGAAGAATGTTTGTTCCCAGCCAGGTGTCTACACGTGCGCTACTGTGTAGTAAGTAATCTTGGGGAAATTTGCTACTTGCATTTGCAGGTAGCAAATTTACTCACAATTAGAGCCAATTACTGAGCAGTAAGTGTCTGCACATATCAAAATGGACACTTACTGCGCAGTAATTAGTTCTACTGCACAGTAAAGCATCTCATGTAGACTCACCCAGTATGTTCATTAATAATCCAGTCAATCAAGAAGTCTTCTTACTAGGGCATACCTTGTACAGGAACTCTGGCTTCAGTTCAGGACCCATCAACATGGAAGATATTTCCAAGTTCATAGAGTCATAGATTCCTATGAAGCCAGACTATACTCATATAACTCCCACATGTGGACACTCTTATTCCAGATGAAGAGAGCCTTATGTTTAGTTTATTTTAATCTAGGGATGATCAAGATATGACCCTAACAACCAAATTCCCAGACCTCTTGGGAGCCTCAAAGGCCAGGTGATATAGCCCTGCACAGCAGATCTGGCCCACAGACCAGCTCAGCATGCCAGATCTGGCCCATGAACCAACCTCACATACCATATCTAGCCCACAGACCAGTCCTGCAGGACCAGATGAGTTAGGCACCACTGTTTTAATCCACTTCCATAATGACATAAACAACACTGGACAAAGGGCCACACACAAGCCAGAATAAGAGTGTGCATATGGGCAATTGGATTATTGAAGTGTTTTGAATTCCCAACCTAACGTATGCTCCCATAACTTAACCACATAGGCATATCCTTAGTGGATACTGGTCTCGTTTAAACCTGTGTCCAGTTTACTTAAGCTAAATCAAAAAAAGTGAGTAATTTAATGCAGTCAGTTTAAATTTACACCTTAAGTTAAATCATTGCAATTTTCTTATATAAGCAAGGCGTATATTTTGTCTGAAACAGCCTTGCTTCCTGAGTTAATGAACCATTCAGGAAAAAAAAAATACACCCACAAACCGATTGAATGGGAAGACATGAAGGGTGCCTATACATGCGCATCAAAGTTGCTCCAATGCACTGTAATTACAGCACATTGGAGCAGACTTGATTAATTGAGTCTGCTGGAGTGTGGTAATTACTGAGCTCCAACAGACTCCAGTGTCACGTGCATCAGTGTCCCTGCACTGAAAAATGGATGTGGGGGCCATAGGTGACTGGTGCCACCTTAGTCGGGGGGGGGCATGTGCCCCCCCCCTGCAACCAGTCCTACTGACTGGGGGGAGGGTCCCACCATGGCCGATCCTGCCGAACAGGGAGACCCCCGCGACCTATCCCAGCTTCCGGAAACGGCTGCAGTGATCAGCTGGTGCTTGCAGGAGGCGCACCAGCACTCTCACTTGCCGCCCCCCACCCATCGCTTAAGTGGCAAGTAAGTGTGGATGGTCAGGGGGTGCACCCACTCTCTCAGGGGGTGCACATGCATGTCACCACTGGTGGGGGTGCTTTAACTAAAGCTTGTTGGATGAAATTTAATTAAAGTGCCTCTGCCATTTTTCAGCGCAGGGATGCTGATACATGTGATGCTCTGGGCACTTTAATTAAAGTGGCTCTCAGTGCTGCACTAATTAAAGTGTCACTTCCCCCTGCCTCTCAAAACGTGCATGAACACCCAAAGTGACTTAATTCAGAAACTGTGAACAGGTTAATATATAGACAGAGGAATCATAGAGTCACTAACATGACATTGTTCCAACCATTCTACCCTTCTATTGCTGAATAGAAAGGAAAGCTTTTGCCAATACAGTTCATTCTGGTTCATGGAAGTACTGTTTACTGGTACAACTGTGTTTACACTGAGGCTTTTCCCAGCATAACTGTAGTGCCAAAAACTCACATCCATTTCCAGTTCAATTGTGCCAGTAAAGGTCTAGTGTGCATCGACCCTTAGTCATTCAAGTTGCCCACTGCCCGCAGGATTACTCACATGAAAAAAGCTGTTTCAGTCATACTTTTAGCTTACACACACTTTTCCACAGATAATTCCTCTTTGTGTGATATTTCTTAATGCTAGGTAATTGTTTCATTTTGTTTTGAAACTTTGTGGTAACTCAGACAAACTGAATAAAGCAAAACTGTGAGGTTGCTTCAGTATTGGAAGAATTGCTCCAATATTTATCTAGCAATTGGCCACTAACAGCTGCAAAATTGCATAATGTATATCTCCAGTATTGTTTTAGGCACTAACATAGAGCATGAGTGAACACACAATGGTAAACAGCCAGATTTGGGGTAAGGGAGTTATTTTCCCTCAAGTCAGATTGGCAGGGACTATGAGGTGGGGGAGGTTGCCTTCTTTTGTTGTGTGGGTCATGACCTACTTCCCAAGATCATCCGGACATATTTTACCTAATGAATCCAACCCAGAACCCATTGCTGGGGTCCAATGTATAGGCAGCTTCCTCAGTCTCTCCTGCTATCTCTTTCTGAAGCACATTGCAATTTTTGAGGCCTTTTGATTACCAAGTGTTAGAGTGTTCTCTGTGGTCTGCAGTGTGCATGGTAGATCAGGACAAAGGAGTGGCTGTTCTTGTGGACTTCTTGGACTTAGTTGACTTAGTGTCCATCATGTAGTCACCTGGAATCGCAGAGGGCTGGACTCAATAACCCAGGCGTTCATTTCCAGTCCTGGGGGTTTTTTACCCATTGAAGCCCAGTTCTGTTGCAGGAGCCCACTAGCTGAGCCTTCACTTTTCTGGGCACTTAGAAGTAAGAGAATCAAAAAGGGAAAGGAGGGATTGCATTTTGATCTGCATGGAGTATTTTTCAGACCATTTATTTCATAGATTTCATAGACATCAGGGCTGGCAGGGATCTCAAAAGATCATCGAGTCTAGCCCCCTGCCCCCGGGGCAGGAAGTCATCTGGGGTCATAGGATCCCAGCAAGATAAACATCCAATTTTCTCTTGAAGGTGTTCAAAATAGGTGCTTGAACCACCTCTGATGGCAGGCTGTTCCAGACTTTGGGGGCTTGGACAGTAAAGAAATTCTTCCTTATGTCCAGCCTGAAACAGTCTTGCAGTAGTTTATAACTGCTCGACCTTGTCATCCCTTGGGGCGTTCTTGTGAACAGATGTTCCCCCAGATCCTGGTGGACACCCCTTATAAACTTATAGGTGGCCATCAGATCTCCCCTGAGCCTATGCTTTTCCAGGCTGAAGAGTCCCATAGTTCTTAGCCTGCCATTGTAAAGTCTGTTTTCCTGACT